AATAATTCCCTAATAAGAACATGAAAATGAAGAATTGTACCGAGTTATTTATAAATACCGAGTTATATATAACTCGGTACAAATATATGATATTTAAAGTCTAGGGATATATAAGACATAAGTGACGTAAAGATAACAAAAACTTATCAATACCGAGTTTTAAGTATGAATACCGAGTTCTTATAAATTCTCGGTACAAGTTTTTCATAAGTATAATATCGGTACAAAAATCAATTTCAAGTAATAGAAATTAAAATCTAGTTATGTAGAAGACTTAAGTGACATAAAGATATTAAAAAATCATCAATACCGAGTTATACTTATTAATACCGAGAAATACCGAGTTGTCAGAAATCTCGGTATTTCTTCTTCATAAGTATAAAAAACAAATTCAAGTAATATAAACAAATATCGAGCAGTACCTACTTATAAAAAATCAAGTTATGTTTAAATAACGAGCAGTACCGAGTTATCAAAAGGTTAGGTACAAACAAAAATGAGAGGATCAGACGAAGATTGAGGATAAATTACTTGTAAAAATAGGAAAAATCGTCATCCAAAGTATAAGTGCCGAATGTTTCGTCGAAATCGTCTAACTCTTCCAAAGTAGGAGTTCCCAAAGTAGGTTCCTTCGAATCCATCGCGTTGCGCGGAAGTTTCGTAAACCCTAAATACTGTATAACGTTCTGTGTACAGTAGATAATCGGCCAGAAGTTTATATACCCGCGTCTTTTAAAGTTTTCCCGCCCGTTTCAACGAAATTAGTGAAAAGAAACGTCAAATATCCAAAATATAACGGGTTTGGGTCGGGTCGTCAGGCTGCTACGTGGCGTAAAATTAATGGTGACCGAACCTATAGAAACATTCGGTCAGAGGACGTAATAATTGAGAGAGAGAGAGAGAGAGAGAGAGAGAGAGTTTACGAGAGGGAAAGGTGGATGGAGAAGAAGGTGGTTGGGTTTGTAGCCTTGCGGGCTTTCTTGGTCTTCTTTCCGTTGCCCTTACATTTGCTGCGAAGGCTAGAAGGATTAGGGTTAGTCGTCTACTCCTTATTCTTCCATGTTGGGACTACTTATTTTGTTGAACTAGTTGAGGATGGGCTGCTATTTATTTATCTATATTTGGTTGTTTTGTTCAATTTTAGGCTTTCTAGGTGTTGCTTCCTGGATTATTTGTGGCGATAGAGAATTGTAAAGTTTAACGTCTTAGTTTTATACGTATGAAGATCCAGCACATAATCATATAAAAAATAGTGTGTCGCGTTCATAAGAGACACCAGAGTTTTTACGTGAGAAATCCTAAAAAGGGGAAAAAACTATGGGGCCTAGCCTAGTTTAAATAAATCAACTAGTGTATGCAGTCAATTACAAATTAGATCCTTCCTTTTGGGGGAAGGCCTTGGCTCAATGTTGTAAATATGCATCATATAAAGTGCATTACATGGTGGGAATTAAAAGAACCAGCATTGACATGTTCGTTTAGTCAATAGGAATATAGTTGGTGGGTTACGGAGGTCAGAGAAGACCTTAGTCGGGTGACGGTAATTAGAAGGACCGTAGTTAGTGGCGAAGGAGGTTGGAAAGACTACACTAGTAATAGTGATCAGAAGGGCCGTAGTTTGTGGTTGACAGAGGTCGGAAGGACCGTAGTAGATGGCCGACAATGGTTAGAAAGATCATTGTGGGGCAACGGAGGTCAGAAGGACCATAATCGACATATGACATTGGTTAAAAAGATTGTTATTTGACAACGAAGGTTGGAAGGAATGTAGTCAAGAGAATCCACCTGTATGAAAGAGGTCTAGAGAATCCACCAATGATGTGAGACCTTTCCGAGGTTATATGTCGGAGCCTTTGCTCGACGACGTTAACCTGTATGGAAGAGGTCGAAAGAATCCACCAAGAATGTGAGACCTATCCGAGGTTGTATGTCGGAGCACTGCTCGACGACGTTAACCTATGTGAAAGAGGTCGAATCAAATCCCTCTGAGATCAATTTTGCTTTGATTGGGAGACAGCAAACACTGCGTATGTCTTTAATCGAAGATGAAGAATGGTCTATCTTTAGACTGTTATTGTCTTTTTGAGGTCAAGATCAAGACCTTGCCCAATGAGTAAAAGTCCAGCAGGGATTGTATGAAGCTTATTATTGATCAAAAGTATCCTTGCATTTGCAGAGATTTTCCTGACATATCATCTTGATGATGGAAGTATTGGAGGGATCTTCTTGACCATAGTTGGAGTCAAAGTTTCCCCCAAATCCGGATCTAATTTCCATGAAATTGATCAAGCAATGGCTGAAGTCAGGAAGTTGAAATGAACGACCTTTTGAGGTTGGAGCGAAAGTTGCCCCCAGTCGGGAACCACATTCCCACAGTCGGCGCCAAACTGTTGCGTCCATGAGTATTCGCGGAGGTAGAGAAATATAAAGTTTAACGTCTTAGCGTTGTACAAAAATCTGGCACGCAATCAGATAAGAGAGAGTGAGCAGCATTCACATGAGACACTAATATTTTTACATGGAAAACCTCTGAAATGGGGGAAAAACCACGGGGCCTAGCCCAGTTTGAATGAATCCACTAGTATTGCAGTTGATTACAAATGAGGCCCTTCTTTAGGAGAAGGCCTTAGCTTGATGTACATTCTATAGAGTACATTACATGATGTGAATACAAAGAATCACTATTTACGTGTTCGCTTGGTCGGGAGGACCATAGTTTGGTGATAGAGGTCAGAAAGGTTGTAGTCTGCGGACGACATAGGTCAGGAGGACCGTAGTCGACTGGCGAAAGAATTCGGAAAGACTGTAGTCGGCGGGCGACATAAGTTAGGAGGGCCGTAGTCGGCTGGAGACGAAAGTCGGAAGGATCATTGTGTTGTGACGGAGTTTGGAAGGACTGTGTCTGGCGTCGGGTAGAAGTCTGACGTCGGTTAATTGGTGGCCGAGGAGAACTCTGGCATCACTTGGGCGAAGTTTCGGCTTTAGGAGGGAACTTTGTCATTAATTGGGAAGAATTTCAGCATCCCGTTGAAGTTGGGATGAATTCTGGCGTCCCGTGGAAGTCGGGCAGAATTCAGACGTCATTTGGAGTTCGGTCGGAACTCCGACAGTGGTCGAGGAGGAGTCTCTTCCCTCCTATTCTTCTCTTCTTCTTCTCCTCCTTGCTTCGGTCCCCTCTCAAGAGAAATGAGGGGTCTATTTATAGATTTTCTGGAGTGGCATGGCCCGTAAATAGATGAGAGATCGGGGACAAATATGGAGTGGTTAGAATGGACAGTTGATATTGAATCCTTTGATCGTGTACAGTTTGTCAGACATTTGAAGGTCTTAATCATGTCGGAATTTGGCGATCTTGGGCTCGTTGGATTTGTCCTGTCGAGCCGCTCGATTCGATTATAAGTTAGTTAAAATCGGATACCGTTTGGTAACTCAAATTGTGGTACGAACTTTCCAACAACACTTCGAGTGCTTGATTTGAGCTCATTTGGGCTCAGATCGAGTTGAATTTGGTGTCGTAGGGTTCGTATTTCCGAGACGCTCAGTTTGACTATAAGCTCGCTGAAATCGGAGTTCAGGTTATCTCAGATTTAATTTTTGAAGTTTTCGGGTTGATTTTGACTCGAGATTTGTGCCCGATCAAGATAATTTTTATGATGACGTATCAATTATAATTTTAATCTAAGACAATAAATTCAAAAGTTCTGTAGCAATTCTAAAAAAAAACTCATTAGAAGATCTGTAGTAGAGAGGGTTTAGGCCAACAAATCTTAATAACATACAACCATTATTAAATATCCAACCAAAACAAAGGCAATTTCATAAACTTCGCTAGCAGTAATAACTCGACATTAACCAAAATTAGCTAAGAAAAAGAAAAACAAAGCAAGCAACTATCCATCTAGCTATCAGATTTATATTCAACCAATAATAAAATGAGAGCCTAATTTGATAATATATTTATCTCAAGATAAATTTAATAGCTATAAAAATCATCTCAATGAAATTTAATTTTTATTTTCTTAGCTTCCAGCATCTTCATTAAAAAATACTAATGAGACAGCATGATCATTCAAAATTCATTTATTTTTGCAAACTCAAAAATATAAAATCAAAATGAAACAATAATTCAATGATAACTTCATTTGGACAAACCAATTAGATAAGCTTTCCACGAAGGAAGGGAGATACTGTAAGGATTTGAGAAATGAAAACTCGAGCTCACAAAGAGAAAACCTAACTTTCAGAAACCGCTGCTCCGTCTCATTTGGAAATGAAACCACCTTCATTCTCAGAAGATGTATAAATTTAACGACATGTATAACAAAATATGAAAAGATGAATATATTTATATATAAAGGGACCACAAAGTGATACAATGACATTGCATTCTTCACATTTCATATCAAACAAATAAGATAAAGAAAGAAGTTTGCTTATTTATCAGGGATCAATTACGATATGAGGAATGTGAGCAATCTTGTGCCGATCGGAACCTCCATCCTCTCGATAGCGCTTATGTAACTTTGGATGACATCTCCGAATAATTAGACGTTTCAAAGAGGGAGAAAGGTTCGGTAATTCCCGAAGCCTAGGAACATCATCAATAGACAGTTCAATTAAGCAAGGAAAGAAACATCCATCTTCAGCAGCTACTCCTCCCTCAAACCAATCCACTAATGCATCTAATTCGTAAATTTCTAGCACCTCTAGCGATGGAAATGTACGGTATTTATCATTCCCATTATATTTACTTTGGAGCCATTTTACTTTCGGCATGCACCTAAGTCTCAGCGACTTGAGGAAGGGAAGTTGCCCAAAAGGTGGAAGAGTTTCCCACTTACTGCAAGATGTCAATTCGATGTTCTCTAGATTTAAGATCGGATTGACATTGTTCATCCATATTGCAGACCTTGCACCCATGTAACTCCATATGCTCAGATTCCTTAGACAATTTGGTGGCTGAAGGTTGTCGAGCACGTTCTCATCTAAATCGATGTTCCTCCAATGAGTGTCAATCCAACTTAATGTTAAATCTGTGAGCCTCCTCTTTTCACATAATTTGGCACTACAAGCCTCCTCGGCATCCTTAACATTTTGAAGGCAATTGATTCCTAATTTGCAAAGATCATTCATATTCTCCAGCTCCTCAATTTTATAACCACTCACATTTCCAAAAGAAAACATATTCAATTCTTGAAGAGACTTTAGCTTCCCAATCCCACATATCGATGAAATATATTTTTGGGCCAATTTCACATAACGCAAGTTTGAAAGGTTATTAAAATCACTAGGTAAAAAATCATAATTACTTTGCACCGCAAACCCATCATAGATTATGTATTGCAAGTGATAGAGATTACTTAGAGATCTTGGCAGCATGATCAACCTATCACCATCAATATTTAAGTATCGAAGATGTATCAAATTTCCAATCTCTTCTGGTATCATTTCCAATTCATAAGCAAATATGTATAATAAGCGCAGACTTCTTGATGCTTTGAATATTTCACTAAGCAGACCGCAAAGATCATGATTAGAATCTTCGTAGAACAAAAAAAGAGAATGCAAATGTTTAAACTTCCCAATCATTCTCAAGATGTCTAGATTTATAGTTGGAACAGACAAGTGTCGAATAGTCTCAGAAATTTCGAGTGATGACTTTTCACCATCCACAAGTTTTCCGCATTCATTTGTAAAAAATTTAGATGCTGACTCATGTATTAAATCATGCATCTTGTAGAAATATCCGACCTTGTAGCCATATTTAACCTTGTCAAATAAAGCTTTTTTGACTAAAACATCATAATACCTTCCTCCGATATCCTCCATAGTCTCTCTTTGATTAGAAGATAGCTGAATGAAACCCAATGCAATCCACATTCGGACTAAATCATCTTTATCATACCGATAATCTTCTGGGAACATACAACAAAATGCAAAACAATTCCGTAGATGATTTGGCAGAACTATATAGCTCAGTCTTAAGATGGAATGGATAGAATTTTGATCCAATAAATTGCTTTCTAGAACTGTCCTCCAATGCCTTTCATCCAAGTTGTCATTCAGAACACCACCAATAACCTTAGCTGCCAACGGAGATCTTGAAAGCTTTTTAACTATATCTCGAGCAATGACTCGTAAATTTTCATGATCATCATCAGAGGGGTTCTCTACACCAGCAAATGCATGAGAGTTGAGGAGCTGCAAACACTCATCTTCCTCTAGGCCCTCTAATTTAACTATTTCCTTCTTCTTTTTAAGAACCTTTGCAAACATCAGTGCAACTGAGTCCGTTCGAGTTGTTACCAGAATCTTACTACCAAAACCCCCAGAAGCTAGAGGGGCGAGCACATCCTCCCATTTGCTTTTATCGTTCTCCTCATCCTCCTCCCAAATATCATCCAGCACAAGTAAGAACTTTTTGGACATCACCTCCTCCTCGAGACGCCTTTGAAGTGCCCCAAGTGTCTCCAAACGAGGCCTCTCATTCTTAAGATATTCGAACATATCTGCAATGACTTTCTTCACATCAAAGTTGTTGGAAACACAAACCCACATTTTAAGATCAAACTCCTTTGTAATTTGATCTTTATAAACATGTTGCAAGAGAGTTGTCTTCCCCATACCACCATGGCCCACTATGCATAGCAGAGAAATGTTTCTGTACAAATCAGATCCCCGTTGCTCATTTGATGGATTCCTCAGCCACTCCATAACAAGCTCCTTATCCTTGCCACGCCCAATGAGATCATTTTTAGGCAAGGATCCTGTTTCACGTGCTCCGTGCAGCTCAAGCTGCTGCTTCTGAAGCTCCTTCTTTGCGTGTTTTACAAGATGAAGAAAAGTATCAACACCAGTTGTTGAAACTTTATGAAGTTTCTGCACAGCCTCCTCCAGTCGCTTCAAGGTGGGATCGATTTTGAGAGCACGTTTGACAATTTTGTCAAGTCTTTTCTTCATGTATTTCACGATGGAACGCGCCCTTCTCAGCTTCTTGTTTTTGGTCACCTGTCTTTCAAGTTCCATGTACTCCAGCTCATCAACCACGTCATCTGCATCATCAATGGCATCTCGTAGCTGCCATAGCCATTTGTTAAGAGACGGATTTTGGTCTGTGATCTGCTCTTGGCTGGAAGCAAAGTGGACGACAGCTTGGATCTGGGGGAGATTCTCTTGCAGCTTTACCAGCTCCTCTTTCATGCCTGCCTGCCATCTGACTTGATCTTTCAGGTAACGGAAGCCAGCGCTGATGAGCTTCTCCATGATTGGATCAAGAAACATATCCGCCATGGCAACGACGATCGACCTAGAGCAGGACAACTGAACAGTAAGAAAAAAAAAAAGGAGATTGGAAGAGATGCAGATTAGATAGTATACCGGCTCACGACGATATCCTGCTGGTTAAGACAGGGAAATCCGATGGGTTAGCGGAGACGTCAATAGCGCCGAGGAATTCCAGCCGGAAATGGTGAAATGTGGCGTTCAATAAACGATAAAACTTGTCGTCAAGTTCAGCCACTAAGGTTTCCTTTGGACAGGTTTTTTACAGCTTCCTACCTAAAGCAGTTTTTTGTGAATAAAAAAATAAATTCATTTAAAAAATTTCTTGCACTGAAAAAAATATTTTAAAAAATAATAATGGCAAGCGGAAGCTCTCAACGTAACATCAAGCAAGTAAATGACAATAATAATAATAATAATGAAAAGAATTATTGAATATTTTTTTTGCTTTTGCTAGCAAACTTCCCTCTATTCGGGCATCTCCAATCGAGAACTTTATTTTTCACGGCAAAATAACGCAAAACTTCAAAATGCCGTGGTGTTGCTTCAATCGAGTGTCATTTTACGTGTTTCTGAGAAAGTAACGATCGTTCTCCCTTTTACACGCTTTTCCGGTTGAGAGCGGAAAATGGCATGGGTGATATTTTTTAATTAAATTTAATTATATTCTATTTTATAAAATTATACAATAATGAAAAAAAAATATGATGTGATGTAATATGTTGTTGGGTTTGAGGGCTGCCAAGATAGGTTTCTATTATACCGAGATTTAATGACTGCTGCAATAAAATTCTGCTAATGAAGATACGTAAAAATTTTGATTTGAGAGTTCTTCTTCAATCACTATGAAATATTTGTTTCTAATTCAATAGATTTTAATTCAGCTTTCATAATTATTTAAATATTTTTCAATGTTTTTTTGAAGTTCAATTTTAGCTTCAATTTTAGTTTATGTATACTACTTCAGTTTATTATTATATCATAATATTTTTGGTTATTTTAATTTCAATTATTAATTTTTATTTTAGGCTATGAGTATACTGAGTTATGTTATCCCATTCTTGCTTTTACTTTCATTTTTAGACCACGAAAAAGATAAGGAGCGAGCTAAATAGATTTAGATATCATATTGAAATATGTGTTGTAGGTATGCCTTTCGGATTAATTGATTTTTTTTTTACAGGCTTGACTTTTATTTTTTATGTGTATTTATTGACAAGCGCTATTGTAAGTACCTCAAATTATATATGTATTTTTGGATGATAATACAAAAAAATTATTTTTGAGATTCAATAAGATTTGAATGATCTTAATGGATGTTTGCAAATGGATTGGTTGATTGATTGATTGTTGTTACATACTGAAATATTTACGATCGTGGAGAGTGTAGAAAGAGATGATCCGGGCGACAGCCCTTTGGACCGGCGAAGCAAGAAGACGATGGGAACAGGGAAGAAAACAGAGAAACTATTGTTGTATTTTCATTAATTGTAACAAGAGAAGTACAGGGTATATATAATGGTAAAGGCATAAAGAAAGTACATTGTTAGACAATGGTACAATTTTTATAACCACTAATGGCATTACACGTGTATTGCTGTTAACAGAGAGATAAAAGCTTAATATCTTAACATTAAACAAAGATTCAGCACACATAAAGAAAAAGAGAGAGATGCAAGAGTCATAAGAGACATTGAGGGTTGTGATTTGACATTTTTAATTCTGACTAATTAGACTGTTTAGTACATGTAGGGCCGTACAAATATGTATTTGATGCTTTTTTGATGATTTGTTTTATTGTATTGTAACCATTTTTTATGATTTTTACTTATATATATGTAGAATAGCTAGATTGGAAGATTTAAACTTTTTTTATTATTTAAATTTTATCCAACAATTTAAATAATATTTAATAAATTATGCTAATTTTTATTAAACGTATGATTATAATTATGTTATATGTTTTAGTTATTAGTTGCAATAATTAGTTAGGTTTTATTTAAGCTCGATTTCGACTTGAACTTGAAAAAAAAAACTTATAAATATGTTTGAATAAGATATAAAATTCGGGTAATAGTTGAACTTGACTTAAATTTGGTTAGAAAATATATACTTATAAAATGGATTTAGTTCATTTGAATGAGTAATACAACTTGATTTAGTTCATTTGCAGCTCTAAGCATCAATCAATAATAAAATGGATTCAATGGGCTATAATAATTTAAATATAAGATATCGAGGAGGGAGTAACTCCTCCTCGACCACCGCCGGAGTTCATCTCGCCACCTGAGTAACGCCCGAATTCGTCCGGACATCCGGGTGACGCCAGAATTCTTCCTAAGCAACATAAAAGTTTTGTTCGACACCGGAATTCAGTCCAACTTTCGGACGACACCTGAATTCTGCCCAATCTCCTTAGTGATGCCGGAACTCTGCTAAACTTTGTAATTAAATCTCGACTTGGAAGAGATTCATAGTAATCTGATCATCCTAACTTTGTGGACGAGTCAACATCTTGTATTTCAAACAAAACACTAGCATAATTATTTTAACTGGGCGAGACCCCATGATTTTTTCTTTTTTTCAGGGTTTTCCACGTACAAATCATGGTGTTTCCTTTCCTGTTCTGTTTGTGTGCTGGATATCCGTACAACGCTGAGACGAAAATTTTTTAACTCTACCGCCACGTATATTCTAGTCCGCAACAATGTTATATGTTTAAATTATTAGTTTCAATAATTAGTTAGGTTTTATTTAAGCTCGATTTCGACTTGAACTCAAAAAAAAAAAAAACTTATAAATATGTTTGAATAAGATATAAAATTCGGATAATATTAGAACTCGACTTAAATTTGGTTAGAAAATATATACATATGAGTGAGCTTGAATGAGTAATACTTAACTTGATTTAGTTCATTTACAGCTCTAAGCATCAATCAATAATAAAATGGATTCAATGGACTATAATAATTTAAATATAAGATATCTTATATTATAAATAACAAGTTCATTACTAATAATTAGCAACAAAATTAATTTAAATAAGAGTGTAAAAATTACAGCCAAATTAGAAACTTAAAATTCCCTAAGAACTAGAATTATCAATAATAAAAAAAACCGAAAAGTTGATTGTTTTTTTTTACTATATATATTTCAGTTGTAAATGATCAAAATATGGAATTTAATGACATATATAATGAAATATTAAAAGAATATATATATATATATATATATATCCACATGCTACTCTCCTAAATTTATTTACTTTAATGTCATTAAAGTAAATATCATTCCAATCCCCACGTTCCAAAGTCCAGAGAAAAATGATGATAAAGAAAAGTAGCATAGATAAGTCCAAATTTTATCACATTGCTTCCCGCATCTAATTTTAGCTTTGATGGCCTTTTTAATCAAAACCAATTAGTATTTAGAGAGGAAATAGAGCCACCATACATTATCTTTTACGCTAAAGGAAATAAATAGAAGAATAGATAACCAAATAGAACAAAAAATAAAAAAGAGAACATAAGGAATGTGAGCAATCTTCTACAA